ATAAGAATAAAAAATAAAGAAATAAAGAATAAGAAGAAATGAATATAAATAAAGAAGATATAATAAACAAAGAATAATTCAAATATATAATCATTATTAATTATTTTATTCTTCTAAATACAAACAACAAATTGATATTAAATTAATGTTAAATAATAAAGATATAACACATTGTTAATTTATTTGATGATATTCAAAATCAAAACATAATAAATTTATTTTAATGAAACAAACTATCATGATTAATATTGATGATGAAGTAATTATGAAAGACAAAGAGAAAGAAGATACAATAAACAATGAAATTCTAAATAAAATAAACAAACACATTTATTTTATCATTTATTTTGATTTTTGTTGAATGAAGTATTTTTCTTACTTCAACATTCAATTATGAGAATTCTCATTCATACTTTCATATGATTCTTTAAATAATTAGAAAAAGAGAGAGTTGATAAAAGTGAATGTTCTTCAAATAGAGAATGATATTATCAAATAGTATTATCAGAATATTATTATATCTTATTCATTATACTCATATCATAGAGTATAAAACACATCAATCATTATTCTAAATTAAAAAATGAACAAATCAATCATTATATTTTTCAATTTATATCTGATTGAATGTCATCTTTCAAACAATAAATTGATGATTAATCCTCTTCAACATCAAATATTTAAATTACTTATACAATTATTTTTTATTCATAACTGATTCAACATAATATTCACATAATGAGTATTTAAATTAGAAAACAAAGAATAAATCACACACTGATATGAAATAGTATTTTTTAAATGATACGAATAAATTATACTTCATATTTTCTTTTTCATTTTAGTCATTTGTTGTTAATTTTTCTCTTCATTCCTTTATTTTCAATAATAAAACTATTTAAATGTAAATGAAATGTTATTTATTTTTGTCAACAAATATCATTTGATAATCAAAACCCCACAAAAAATATTTATACTTTTATCCTGTAGTTTCTCGAAAGTTGTTCAGGCTCTGTTATAATAACATTAATCAAATTAATAACCAAGAACCATTTAAGTTAATAACCAGGAACAAATTAAAATACTATGACCAATAAACAAAGATATTATAATAATCAACATGAAAAATTTTATGAGATACTATGACGACCACAAAAGAAAATGCAGAATAACAAAATAATAGACATAGAATAATCTTTAATGTTATAAATGAAAAAAATTATACATCAACAATATCAAAGTTTTTTATTAACCTTAACTTGAAACATATTTCATTTGACCATTTAAAATTGTTAATCCAAATGTCAATTAATTTAGTTAAGTTATGGCTTTTATTTTTTAGTACTTTGTTTCCTATTATCTATCTTCTTTAAAGCATTCTTCTGGTATCCTTTTATTTTCCTTTAGTTTTGACTCACACCCACATTTATAGAAACATCCATTTCCAAATAATGTAATTGACGTTGGAATATTAATTTCTTTTAATGACCCACAACCATTAAAACATCCCTTTCCTAATTCTCTAACTGTTGTAGGTATATTAATTGATGTTAATGACGTACAACCTTTAAAACAGTTGATACCTATTTTATTGATTGTTGTAGGAATAATAAGTTTATTGATAAAGTTTATTTGAATATCTTTCCCATTTATCATTTTTACATTTTCTGGTATATTAATACTTATTAATACTGGTTTATTCATTATTATTCTATTGTTATTAAGAAATTGTGGTTGTTCAACATTTATTGATGTTAATGAATTGCATCCATCAAAACAATCAACATCAATTTGACTAATAGATGTTGGTATGTTTATATTGACCAATGATGTACAATTCTTAAAAGAAAGACTTCCTATTTCTTTAATTGCTGTTGATATGTTAATTCTTTTTAATGAACAACATCCTTCAAAACAATTATTACCAAATGTTGTTATAGTTTTTGGAATAATAATTTTTCTTAATAAGTTACAACCACTAAAACAATAATCCCCTAATTTATTAATGGTTGTAGGAATCCTTACATAATTCAATGTTTTACATTCCATAAAACTACTGTTTCCTATTTTACTTACAGAGGTAGGTATATTAATTGATTTCAAAGATGAACACTTGCTGAAACAATTTTCTCCTATTTCAATAATTGAAAATGGTATTGTAATTGTTTTTAAAAACTTCATTTCTTTAAACCATTCATGCACTAATTTAGTAATCGTTGTTGGGATATGAATATTTGCTAAAGATGAACACCTTTCAAAACAACCATCTCCTAATTGGGTAAATGAGATTGGTATGTTAATAATACTTAATGAAATACATCCACAAAAACATTTCTCTCCTAATTTACTTACACAATTTGGTAAAATGATATTGTTTAATGACTTACATTCTTTAAAACATTCACCACCTATTTCAACAATAGAACTAGGTAAATTAATATTAACTAGTGATGTACATCCTTCAAAACATTTCTTACTTAATTTAGTAATAAGTCCTAAAATATTAATTGATGTTATTTTATTACATTCTCTAAAACACTCCTCTCCTAATTCACTAATTGGTGATGGAACAGTAATTGATGTTAATGACGAACAACCATAAAAACATCCATTTCCAAATGAAGTAGTTGATGATGGTATATTAATTGATGTTAACGATGAACATCCTCTAAAACAATTATCTCCTAGTTTATTAATTGATTCTGGTAAAACAACTGATGCTAATAAATCACAGCCATTAAAACAATTATTTCCTAATTTACTTACTGAGGTTGGTATATTAATTGATTTTAAAGAGATACAATCTTTAAAACATTCATTTCCTAATTCACTAACTGTTGTTGGTACAGTAATTGACGTTAACGATGAACATTCTTTGAAACAATAATCATTTAATTTAGTTATTGTTGTTGGAATAATAAATTCATTGATGTCTCTTCTTTCTATAATTCTTTTATTAACTCTCTCTAAATTTTCTGGTAATTTAAAACTATTCATAATTGGTTCATTCATAAAAATTCTTTCTTCATTAACGAAATGTAGATTTTCTATAATTACATCACTTAATGAAAAACATGCTTCAAAACATTCATCTCCTAATTCTCTAATTGATTTTGGAATATTAATTGATGTTAATGAATTACATCCTTCAAAACAATTGTTCCCTATTCTACTGACAGTTATTGGTATAGTAATACTGCTTAATCCACATTCATAAAAACATTCATTTCCTATTTCACTAATTTTTGTTGGTATATCAATTGTTTTCAAATCATAACAATACTTAAAACATTCATTTCCAAGTGACTTAATTATTGATGGTATGATATTTCCATATTTCTTTCTATCTTCTTTTGTATATTCTATATTTTTACATTCATTTCCTTGTTCTTTTTCTTTTGAATATCTTGAATATTCAACTTTATACCATATTACTTGTTTAATTATTTTTCCATCATTAAACACTTTATCTTTTTCAGTAAATAAATTAATTTTACTAATATTAGGAAATAGTTTTCTTGAATAATCATTTAATGGAATTGGATTATAATATAATTTTTCCATATTTCCTTGAAACTTTTTAACTCCTAATTCTAAATTAATAAAATCATTAATGTCATTAAAATACATTGATAATTTTTGTATTACTCCAGGTGTAAGTTTTATTCTTTCTTTATTATTTTTAATATTCTGGACACTCATTGGTGGGATATTTTTTACCCACCTAAGAAGATCTTCAATTCCTTTTTCTGATCTACTATTGTCTTCTCCTTCTTCTGGTTGAGAGTCAACAAAATACATTGGAAATTCAATGCACTGTTCATTTCCTGTTGTTTCTTTAACAATTTTCATTATTTCTTTTTGATATTCTTCTCTTTTCATATTTACTTTCTTTGTTATTCTCTTCTCATCAACATAAGAATAACACTTACTCCATATTACACAAACGTGTTTCCAAAAATCCTCATTTGAAAATTCCTTGTAAATACTTTTAATCATGTTCTTATTAGTTTGAGGAAATCTGTCTTGATTAAAGTTAGAAACAATAACTATCCCTTGTATTTCTTTTTGTTCTTTAATATAATCTAACATTTGACTAATCCATTTTGTATCCATTCCTTCAGAATCTTGAACTCCTGGTGTGTCAATAACAAACACATCACTCCTGTCTAAGTCTCCACAACTACCAATTGTTTCTTTGGTTTCTGAACTAGCACCATCACCAACAGCAAATGCATTTTTCTTTAATATAAAATTACCTAATGAACTTTTACCATCTCCACTACTTCCAATAATAAGTAATTTAGTTATCTTTACTTCTTCTTTATTTATACTCATTTCTTTTATACTGATTATTATTTTTAAGTTTCATTTATTTATAAAAAAGTTTGAAAAAATTATTCCATTTTTAATTAAATGATGTTTTTCTATTATTTCTAATATATTAAATAATAATATAAATAATGATATTATTAATTGGTAATAATTCAAAACTATAAATTATTTTTAATTAATATGAAATGAATTTAGAATATTATTTCTGATTTGTATTAACTCTTTTCATTTAACTAAGCTTAATCTGAAAAAGCAAACTCACTTTATTACATCTTATTTTCAATAACCTCAATCTCTTATTTTTATTTATTAAAAAAAATTTATTGAAATAATACAAGCCGGATACGCCTTAATCAAATAATAATGATATTAATTTAAGGATAAGTAATATTAAATTCAAACCATTCCTATTTTAAACACTAAAATATTATTACCTCTGTAACTATGATAAAAGTAATGACCTCTTAAGAGTATGATTTTGTTCTAATTTACAATTTTATAATATTTAATTAATAAGTTTATGACACCATTACCTTAATTAAATAAAGATATTCAAACATTCATTTTAATAAATCAATTATTTATAAATATAAAAATGATTAATTATGAAACAATATGAAAATATAATTTTAATTTTATAAAAAAAAAAGGAACAATAGAAAAAAAGAAAATTTATTTTTAAATAAACAGATAATTTTCAAAACAAACTCAAAGAAAACCAAAAAAATATGATATTTAATATATTAAAAAACAATTAAACAAAAAAACTCTAATAAAACCATTTTCTAATTTACTTATTTTGATGCAACAATTTACAGATGATATGTCAACAAAAGTAACAATCAAGTCATTAGTTGCTGAATATACAAC